TTTGAAGGGTTTGGATTTTTGTTGTTGAAAAACTGTTGAGATCGAGAAGATAAATACGTAGACATTATTCTTGCCAGCAAGTTTGCATAATCCAATACTCTTCGAACATACTGTGAATATAAAATCACCAATGAATCAGAAAAAATAACCGAAAAGCAGCATCCTTCTACTTAGCATACTATCATCCTTTTTGCTGTTTAGAGCAACTCTGAGGAAATGTGCAAAGAACCAATTATAACAACAAAATTACCCCGATATTTCCAGTTGGATGATGATTTAGGCGCTCGTTCGCTTGGGGCTTGATCAGATTAAAGTTAATAATGCCCATGTTTGCAAAAAAGCGTAGTTCTTCGTGTTTTTGCTACTTTTTTACTCCACTGAAGTTGTTGAAAGAGGCGAAATAGTTCTACAGGTGTGTGACGATGCGTTCACTTTTGCTACATACAGCACTCTTTTTATTAGAAGAAAGTATCAGCATCAGTCTTAGATGGATGTCGAAGCGGATGAAGCAAACCGAGAAGTTTTAGCAAAAATTCGGCGGAGTGCAATGTCAAATAACATACTACCGTACTTGCTGCTGCAGCTTCCCAAACGTTCAAAGTGTCCTGTACTTTTCTTTGTATTAGTGCTCATAATATTATCCTAAGTAATCTTACGCTCTTCTGAACAAGCCATAAAGCTGTGAGCCCAAGTAAATGTTCTATACACCTAGATTATAATTGAACAATCAAAGATTTTTGTCCAACCATCTAATCTGAGACCACTGACCAAGTGCCAAATGACAGATGACTTCGCAGTGATCATCAACTACGTCAGGAATTCCACCAACGGACATGTAACTGTCACCCACAGTCTCAACTTTGTAGGCCTAAAAAGTCGTAGCTCTTAGCCAGCTGCATTGTTGAAATATTTTTATTGTTGGATACCTTCTGGAGAACTACTAAGCGGTCAAAACGTGTGAATAGGTTGTTCAGCAGATAAACAACATCTTTTGGTTGACAGAGTGGTACAATTTGTTGAAAGCATGGAACATCAGAGAACATCACAGTGGCTGATTCGTACTCACCTGGAATATTTCTGCATTATAAGCGTAAAGTTGAGCTAATGTTACCCAATACTCACGAGCATCGACAGTTAATCCGCTTTTTAGCTGATGAGCTACTGATGCTGGCAGCATCTCGCTGAGAAGTGCATCAGTCTTACCCTTTTCAACTTCTAAATCTCTAGCCATGATTTCTAACTGCTCGTTGTTTGCTTCTAGCTGAAGGCTGCAAAGAAAAAATTATGCTAAAGCTTTTCTCATATTACGAATGTTTTCTGCGTTGGTTGCAGTAGTGGATAAAAAGTGTTGCATTAGTTTAACCAGACAGTACAAAGACTCACTTCATCTCAACATCGCTCAAGCGCTGCTGATTAAGTAGGATCAAATCTCTCGTAGCATCGTGGAGAGGCATTGCATTAAGTCGCAGTCCATATTGCAACAGCTCAGGTATGGATGTGACATATGGCGAGCACAAGTACATTACATGACGACCTTAATGTACGTAGATAAATCGTGCAATTATAAGTTTCCGTGATGACCAGAGTTACGCTATGAGAGTGTATTCTTATAACTAATATGCTGTCTTATTGTATTCAACAGCGGTAGTAGAAACTGAGACCATATGTTTCCGACGCATACCTGTGCCCATCAACATCATCTGTCCCTTCAGCTTCAGATGTTGGCTTTGAGCCATATGATCGATGCCGTTTTCGTTGTCCATTCCAGGCCTGAGAGCGAAAAATGTCGAAATTCAAGGAAAATGTTATAATTTTATTTTTCAAAGAAACATAGTAGTAATCAACAATTCCTACTAGACGGAAGTTGGATTTCTTATTCCTGAGCATACTTTGTAGCTGCTTTTTTGTTAGTTGATAGTTGATCTTTATTAGACTGAGGTAGAGACTTTGTTAGAAACGCTTCTAAATTAAGAAGTTAGTCGTCCTAAACATTTCGGCTGGATTTCACTAATAGTCAGGAGAGCAATACCCGACACACTGCGTGGGACGAAAATATAATCATCCTCTCATATTTAGCTCTTTCTCTATGGAATATTAGCAAGCTTTGCGCGAAAATAGACAATTTGCAAGAGATAATTGTAAACATATCATTTATGTACAAGTCCAGATTGAAGGAAAGAGCACAAACCATATTCGAATCAAAAACTCTTTTTAGCGTATGCTATGCATAGAAGTATGAGGAAAATATAGAAACATAAGACCTTGACACTGTGCAATTTGGAGATGACGCTTTTTCAACGGAAAATGCAACAGATTGTTTTACAAAAGAGTGGATGCATCGGCCTTATGTATCTTTCAAAAATGGCTCATTGTAACAGAGCTACTCATCTTTACCAGGAAACATAAAGATAGATTGGGTAAATATAGCTGATATAAGAACCCTGCTGTTTGAGAAATGCGGAATAGAGATACGTAAACGCATTCAACTAAATTTTCCTATTTAACGCTGTGCCCATGAGTTGTGACCTGGAGGCACAACGCATAGCCAAAACTGGTTGCGTCAAAACAAACTTTTTTTATGTACTTTAATGGATAGAGTATTAGCTAACAAACCCTTCCAATATTTGGCTGTTCCTTTTGGTCACGCTTTTCTGAAATTCCATCGGTGTCGTCTTCACTTGCAATACAAAAACTGCGTTTATGAAGTTACAGATGGAATCAAAATCTAACGGAATTTGTGGACGAGCAATCTCGAACACTCGAATTAGTGGAGTGCCGGGTAGCAATAGATC